GGGCTGCCCCGGGGCGGGCGGCGGGGGGGGCCGGGCCCTGGCTGCCCCCCCGGCCTCTGGGGCCGTCACGGGGAGACGGCGAGGAGAGCTGGGCGAATCTTCAGGTCCGAGGGAGCGCTCCTTTGGCCGGGGTTTCTTTTACCTTGCGGCTGCATCATCGTTTCAGTAATAGTGAACCTGAAATGGGCGTTGTGGGAAAGTAAACACAAAAATACGTGAAATGCAATTAAATTTCAGCTGTTTGAAAGAGTTTATAATTGCGTTTTATGCTCAGCCTATTTTAGTCATAAAGATTTTAATAAATTTTAAAACATTGGGAATATGAGGGTTACTTCTAGTGAGCCGAAGCTTGCATTTTTGTAGTGAGTCAGGGAAAGCATGTTTCATTTTCAGGTTGAGTTTGTATTTGGAAGATACCACTGCAGTGTGCTTCGCCAAGTATCTCTACAGGGGAGCAACCTCTGCTATTCCTGTTTTCCAAGTGTTAGCTCTTTTTTCTTTCTTAACGGAAGGTTGGATTGGTTTAGGTTCAGTATCAGTTACCTGTATCTTTTGTTAAAAAAAATAAATCTACCTTCTATGTACATGTGATTATATTTTTAATCATACTGAATATTTTTTTCTTTGGCTTTGCCCTGTAATCCCTTTCCTCAGTTGGCACACGGAATCGAAGAAACTTGCTTAATGAGCAAGCTTTTCCGTATGTTCAGTGCTGAGTCCTCGGGCCTTATTTACTGAGCACTCCTCCAGCTCTGCTATGGGGTTGGACTTTCTCACTTTGACTTTAGGGGCTTTCCTCTGATCTCCTTGGTCTGAATCGGTGTCTTTCATTAGTACTGAACCTATTTTTGCAACATGAGATGTGGATATTTTTAGTATCTCTATCTGTTCTCCTATCATTAAAGTAGTTGCTGAAGTCAAAAGTATCCACTTGCTTTGCCAAACTGAAAGACAAAGATGGTTGGTTTTGGTTTTTTTTTCAGTGCCTGGCATTGTGTAACACCATACTCAAGGAGAGCTGCATTTGAATTTGTTATTTTTGAGGCTCAGCATTATTGCAGATATTGCTCTGAGACTGCAGGATGGATCCTGGGGAAGTTGGAGCATAGTAGCCGTTTCTGAAAACTTTGATTCAGATGACTGGCTTAAGTGCAAGCAAACATCAGGGACAAAACAAGGGATAAAATCTTTTCTTCAGGTAGACACTTTTTTTTTTTTTAAACAGAGAAGCTGTACTGTTTCTTCATGCAGCTTCTTTCCTTGGTCACCACACTTGCTGGCACTGGCAAATCTGAGGCGTGTGTTTCTTCTGTTGTGCCTCCTGATTTACCTGCTGTGACAAGGCAAGCAACCTGGGGAAAAGAATATTTCATATGCAGAAATTCTGGAAAGGTGCCCTGTTATCAGTTGGGTTTTCTTGGGGCTGGATTCAGTGCAACTGCCTGGCTTCCCATGGCTTCAGGATTGAGGGTGGAACATTCACCCGGGCATGCCCCGCTGCCCTTTTGGTCAGCGGGGGCCACAGCAATGGCGATGGGTAGCCACGCTCTCTGTGGGACCCTACAGAAATGAGTGGGCTTAGATAGGCAGCAGCAGCATCAAGTGAATGAGGTGGGACAGGTTTGGTGTCAGAGGGATCGTTCTTGAGGGCAGATCTCTGCCCCATGCTGGGGACTTGTCACGGTGCGTAAGGGGGCTGAGGTCCCATCTCTCTGCCTCCTTGTACACGAGAGTCATCCCATGTGCCTGCTCTGAGCCCCGACTGCTGTGCACGTACACCCCTGCATTTCTGATGCCCTGTCTCCAGCGCTCCCTGTTTATTCCCAGGTCACTTGTCTGACTCCTCCTGAAATGGGTTCCCTTCCTCAGGCTCGCCTTGATTGCTACAGACAGCCTCCCGCCTTCAGAAATCAGTGTGGAAGAGGTTTAAGCGTGTAACAAAATGGGGAGAAGGGCTGATATGTGAAAACAAACAACTGATTTGTGGCAAGAATTAGGACAAGGAGAACATACCTGAGAGATTTGTCCATTAGCATCTGCTGCTTGCAGAAGAGTGAGGTTCTGATTTGTCTTTTTCCCCAGAGCTGTGCACGATGCTGAACAGACGTGGCAATTGCTCAAGACAGAGGCAATGGATAGATAGAAGAATTAGATCAAAACTTTCTTAAGTCTCTCATTTCTGCTACTTGTCCTTGTTCAGTCTTCTGAATTTTTTTTTTTTGTTCTACTCTGTGCTTTTCTTTTGCAGATTCAGTAACTTTTAGCTATTTGGACATATATGTTTCCAAATGAAAGAGAAAGTGATTTTTTTTTTTCCTTTATTGACTGTGCCTCTGTCCTTTTAGTCTCACAGACTCCTGAATTCTGTTTTTTCCTAAAATGCATTTAGCAGCAAGATGTAGTCCCTGTTACAGCAAACAAAAGATAACTTAAAACGTCTTTTCCAGTTTTGTCAAGATGCCCATCAGTGTTGATGATGTGATGCAACTGTTGTGCCACCTCTCTCAGGTGAAGGGGATGAAAGCTGCTGTCAAACACTCTGCCCAAGGAGCACTGCTGGCAGGTGCAACAGCACTTCTTGGGGGTCTGGTGGGAGGTCCACCTGGAATCGCTGTAGGTAAGTGTGTTTTGCTTTAGGAACAAGGTAATGGTAGCAGTCAGGGAGGAGGTTGGTACCTGGTGGCACAGAAGAAAGAAAACTGGGGTGTAAAGCGAGAGTGTGTAAGTGTTCTTGGTCAGCCTTAGCAAGGGACAGGGTCATCTTCCCAATGCTCTTGTTAAAAATTATGTTTGTATTTTAAAAGTACCTGGTATTCACTCCTGGTGAACTTGTTTTTTTTCCTCTGGAATTCATTATTCCGTGTCTCTTTGCTTTTTATCCGTATATGGAGAATTACAGGAGGGCCAGAGACTAATAGGAAAGAGCTGTCTCTCCTCTGTGTTTTCTGCATTACAAGTTGTCTAGTTGGAAAGCTGCCTTGTCACTGAAGTCGTGTGGGCCTCGGTCCTTGAGTGCTCCTTACTCCTGAGAGCTTACTGGTATTGGAGTGTGCCTGCGTGAGGGTGAGCAAGGCTGAATTATAAAAAGTAACTAAATATGTGAGGAGTGACAACAGAAAATGCAAAACGAGGCTGTGTTTTTACTTCTGTTACAAGTACAGATCTAAATAGCCAGAAATAATATTTTGACAAACTGAATTTTGGAGGCAGGGTGTGCTCTGATGCCACCCCTCTGTCATGAGGGTTCTCCCTCCTTCCACCAGGATGTCTGTGTCCCCTGGCCACAGTGTCAGTCCTGTGAAATGGTGAAGGAGAGTGTGGTGTTGCAAATTAGACTGGTAATGCTGTGAAAGAGAACAGCTGTGTAGGAGCTAATGCTGGTTTCTCAGCAGCAGCCACAGTCACAGCAGCTGTAGGGGAATCCCACTGCTGTTACCTTGATGACCAGAAACCACTCTCCTTACCTGAACATTTCTTGGCTAGCTGGGGTAGGTGTTTTTAGTGAGGTGTTGATTTGGGAGATGAAAGCAGGAATGTGTCTAACCTCCGGAAGCTGATGGGTTTGGTGTCTGTGAGCACTTTCTGAGAGGTGGACTTTGTGGGAGTGGAGGCAGCAATGTGTGGCTCTACAGAAGCAGAAAGCTTGGACGGGTCTGGGAATCTCGCCTAAGAGATTATGTGCTCATGGCACTGATGAGGCAATTGTTGGTCTGGTGTTTTCCCTGGGCGTGGTTTCATCTAGTAGTAGAATTTACCTGAAGCAGTGCCCTGAGGAGTGTCGCTTTGTTTCTGATTCCCAGCTTGAAGCTCTTATCTCTGATTGTGTAAAGAGTTCCTTTGTGTTTGCTGTGGGTGAAGAAAGCTTTAAAAAATACTTCTTGGTGCATCGAACATGGTGTATAAACCTGGTTAAATGAGACACATATGCAACTCTGCCTTGATTTCTAATAAAGGCGGCAACATTGCTGATGAAGGCTGTGGGTAGAATGTCAGGTTTTAACATGAACTGGTCAAGAGTAACATCTCTCTCTTTTCTAGGAGGAGCATTTGGTGGATTGCTGGGTGCCTGGATGACTGCTGGACAGTTCAGGCCGGTCCCTCAGATTTTACTGGAATTGCCTCCTGCTGAGCAGCAGAAGCTCTATGATGAAGCTGTTGTTGTTATCAGTCACTTAGATTGGACTGATATTGCTCAGCTGACTGCTCTTGTAATGGGAAATGCAGGTCTCCAACAGAAGTTGACAGCAGTTCTGATAAATTACCTCTCCAAAGAGCTAAGAGCAGAGATACAGTATGGAGAATGAACCTTTCCAGAGCAGGCTTTTTACAGTGTTATAATTTTTTTCTCTGACAGTTGTGATTCTTCAGTGTAGCAATTAATAGTTATCAGTACTAATTATGAATGTAGGCAGATCTCAGTATTAGTTTGGGGTTTGGAGGTTTTTTGGGGGTGTTATTTTTTCTTTTTGGTAAGGATAGTATTAGATTACTGAATTATCCTGATGCTGACTTGTAATTTTGAATTACGCTGCACAAGGACTGAATTCAAAGTCACTGAAAGGAATCATGCTTGTCTTATGCTAATGTATTAGTAGTTAAGCTTTTCAAAGTCTGTGTGTTTTAGTTAGGACATTTAATCTTGTTTGTGCACATACTTTAAATTTCTTCTGTGAATGACATCCAGGTGCCAAAGTAGTTGGGGCACTGAAGAATTTTACCTACTGTCTGTTTCAGTCCTGGAAAGGAAAGTGTATTACTGTGAAATCAATGAACTCAATCCTTACTTTAATCTTTATCTAATGTTAATTGTAACTCTTAGGTATGTATTCCGTTCTGTAAGAAGTGAAGCCAATGCATAACAAGGTTTAAATGCAACAGGTAAACAAACTGTGCACAGTTAGTAGTTCAGCGTGTCCTATAATGAGAAGGCATTGCAATAATTCTAAGAAAAACTGAAAAATGAGGAGCTGAATCTGCCATGTTTTTACTATCCCTAGGGTTAGGGTTGTCATTTCAGCATTGGTTTCTTGACTGAATCTGCACAGCTGGTCCTTTGTTTTCATTAAAGTGTTCATGAGAAGCATCCTAGTGGCCTCTGTTTTGCTTTAAATAAATGAACTATTCTTTCCCCTAGAATCCATTTTTCCCCTAGAATCAAGACTTACCTGTGTGTGTGTGGCGAGATTTCTAGAGGTTGAATTATAAACTTGCAAGTTGCTATTGTATACATCTGATTGATTTACATCTGCAGGTACCGTTTGCTGTTAACAGGGCAGGGACTGTTCTTCTCATTTGAAAACACTTTTTCAGTGATGTGAAAGACAGAAGTGAATGGTAAGTGGACACTCCTTAGGCTGTGTCGCAGATGAAAGTCTCTCACACGGTTACGGTTTAACAGCAATTTAAGATTATTAATGGTATGAAGGTATGAAGTAGATCAAAGGTTA